AGCAGCAGAATATCACCAGCCAGCTTGAGTTCTGGATGGAGCGCAGTGCCAAGTTAGTTTGTGTTCTGCTGTTTTATGTTACTGGAAACTACAACATTCGTTCGTTCAGAAAATGTTAAAGATAGCTACTGTCTTTAACATTTCTGTCGAGTCTTTGAGATGAGATCTTCAACAAATCTGTTGCCAGTTCTAATCCTCTTCAGTCGAGGTCTAGGCCCCTTTGAGGGCTGTCAATGGTTTTGTGGGGTTGTTTCTTTTTGTTTTAGGGAGGACCTTTACAGTAAGACTTTATCAGACAGCATCACAACGCCACCCATGCTCATTGTATTCTACAAGCACCACTCAAACATTGATCCAATGTGGCACGTCCGACACCTCGGTAAGGAAATGATCAAGGCTGTGGTTCATAAATGTAAAGCGCCTATGTACATCTCTTAGTAACCAATTGTGTGTGTGTTTTGTGGATATTTATGTTTCTAGGGGCGACAGGAGCTGGTAATTGGTATTCACCTCAGTTTGTTAAGGCTGCCAAACTTCTCCATTGGAATGGACATTATAAACCATGGGGAAGAGCCTCTTCTTTTTCTGACATTTGGGACAAATGGTACATTCCAGATCCCACAGGTAAATTCCACCCAATCCGAAGACACGCTGAGGAAAAATAAACTCTGGTCTGGGCTACATGAAAGGAGGAGGAGGAGGAGGAAAAGTAATCGCTTTGCTGGATGGACTTTCTCGCAGATATTTGATTTTGCTCAAAGATGTTTAAAGAGATGTCTGGATGCAAAATATGGGGCCTTCATGAAACCTAAGAGTACCCAAGTTACTGGGACCAACATTGGAATGGAACAACAGCCAAGAGGCTACATTCAACACCAATGCACTACCTCAGCATTCACTGTCAAATTATTAATAACACTAAACCATTTAGGGTACAACTTTAAAATCTTCATTTTATATACTACATCCATGCAAGTGTCTAGATTTTTTTTTTTTATTGGGTGAAACTGTGGACCCACTTTATTCGAAATTGAATTTTCCATTTCATTATTAAATATTTTAGACTGCTTTAGGGCTTAAGACACAAACCTGTGACACTTAACGTTTCAGAATTTCTGTATTTAACACTACAGGAGCCACTTTCCCCTTCTGTTACGTCTTCAGTGTTGTTTACTTTTCTATGGATGCACGTTTTGTTTTTGTTTTTTCTCTCTCTTCTCTCCACGTATCAGCTGTCTTGTCCTCAACCCGAAGGGGAAAATATGCCAATTTGTACATAAAAGAAAAAGTGTTCTAACAAAGTAATGAATAAAGCTCAGTATGTTTTGTATGCAATGTAAGAGTATTAACCTTTGATTTAAATAATACATATTTTATTATGTATTAATACAAACAAGCATAGCGATATATTATGCACATCAACGAGTGCCGTTTCACAATCTGATTCCTCTCAGTCCACATGAATCTGTACATGCTGATGAAATTTTACGCAAAATCTGTGTTGAAATCATATGCGTCGTCATTGTTGTGCTGCACTGAAGTCAGGTCAGTGTTGACGGGGACAAACTTTGCTTTTTTAGTTGGTTGGTCTACAGAAGAAAAAAAAAGACAAAACAACTGAGATTGACAGAAGACAGTTACATTAAGAACAAAGATGAAGTCCATAAGTGCAAATCAGAAAACATACCTTTTCTCTTCTTTGTTGATTCCTGAATCTGTGTCACCATCGTTGAAACCGGAGTTTCAACCTCAGGCTGAAAAACAAAAAGTGTGCCAATCAATATTCAACATCAGCCATTTAACTGAATTTTGAGTACTGAAGTTATGTGCTGGGGTCAAAACAAGCTCTATGGACAGCAAAACACTGTTGGCTTGTCAATCAAATTGTTAAAAAAATAATACAATTGCATTTACAGTTGGCATAAAATTAAAGTTCACCCTATTTTTGTGCATACATGATTCATCCACGCACTTTTTCTTTTTTATGTTTGAACTTGTAATGTTTAATCAGAATATCATAACCTTTTGTGTGTGTTTTAAACCTATATGATTTAGCACATCAAACTAATCTAATGCCAACATGTTAAATGCCTTGTGGTTCCACTTAAAACTGTGGGTTAAACATTTTTCCCAATGTAATGCTTTGTGGTATTGTAAAAGCATTACTGTAAACATGAGTTTTACATACTGCAATAAGCCAAAACTATTTTCTGTAGTAACTGACAGCAAGAGAGATCTCAAGTTGCACTGAACCCCAAAGATTCATTCAATGCGTGTTCTGAGAAGGAATGAAATTGATCTCAGATACGGTTTGTGAATATTAAATCTACAGGAGTTTCTGTCAGAGTGAGATCAGAGTTGGATTAGAATGTCATCAAGGACTTATGTGAACAACAAACTCATCATTTCTCATCATCTCTGATGACAGAAGTGTGAAGCATCATTACTGATTGATTCCTAGTCTCTAATAGGAAGTACCTCCTCTTTGTCGACGGTCACATCCATCTCCTTCTCATCTGCTTCGTCTGTTACTGTGGTTGTTATGGTCTCTTTAGGTAGCTCACTGACATTCAGCACACCAGCGGTGGGGCCCCTTGAGTTAAAACTTATACTGCTCGATAGATTGGGGAATCGCACACCTGAAGACATGCACACTTTAATTTCCACACCACAAAATATCAAAACTGATCTGATTTGTTCAATAAACTAACCATTAGATGATCAAATCATTCCAATCTCAGACATACCTTTCATAACATTCCCGTTGCCCTTCCTCACCACATCAGTATCCAGATCTGACCTCAGTTCAATCGCGATGGCATCAGTGAGGTATGAGGGGAGGCCCTGGTGCTCTGGAGCTCTGCTGTGGTAACTCAGTTTTGGCCTAAAACAATATCACACAAAGCTTAGGAAGACAGAGACTACAGGCCAGAACTGCTGATTCAAGTTTAACAGTGTAATTACAGCATCACATCATCTGAAACTCACCCTGTCCAGTCATTGAGGAATGTCATGGCTGCCAGCTCTGTGTTAGGAA